TGCTGAACCTGTTCTTTCTGGGAAAGGGGTGGCTTGGGTGTATCTTGTGCCTCCCAACTGAAAGTGTGATGAAGCCTGAGAAATGGATCCTGTGTTGTGTTGGACACTAAGCTAGGTCAAGCCACGCTTATTGGCATGGTCTCAAGATGGCAAGGAGCAGGAAAACATGTCCTGGGGTGAGGTGGATTTGGATGGGGCAAAGAGACATCAGTATCAGTGGAGACCTTAGGGTAGCTGGATCCAGCCAGCAGCACCCAGGTGTAGTTTTGAGTAGTCTCAGCTCTTCAGTCAATTGGCTGACTTTTAAATGCATTTCCCTCACACTGCAAAGCAACTAATACTTCTGTTTAAAATGCAGATGCTGGCATACATGTTCTACTCTGTGCCATACCATGTGATTGCTCTGTATGGCCTGCTGGTGCCTGGTTGTTCCTGGATGCCTGATTTAACCCTTATACATGCTGGAGGACTAGCTCAGGTATTTCTTTGTAAAATGTTCACTTTTTAATTACAAGTTAATAAGTAGAGACCTATGGAATAAATAAAGGGCCCATAGCTCGATCATCCCATGCAGCTTTTATGACACTAACTCAGATCACCTTTTATATCTGTAAAAAAAACTAATTTAAGGGAGTGGAGTATCAAACCTCTTACATGTCTCTAATGACTGACTGCATTCTTGTTTTAGTAGACTTCCATCCTGCTGCAGAATCTTTTTACTGGGCTCATTTAAACCTTATTAAGCACTATGCATCTTTAGCTGAGACATGAAGGAAGCTTGTCTTAAAGCTGTAACAGTCAACCATATCAAAAAACCAAACCCTAGCACAACAAAACAGCACAATACTTTGTTTCCATGATACATGTTTACCAACTAGGTAGTCTGACAAATATAAATGGAAAAAGTATCTATTAGTCACACAAAATGGTCAGTATCAGTTGATGATATTGGTATAACACCGGGAACCTCCTGGGCCACAAACCACAGTAACACTAAGACATACTTGCATTGCCAAAGGCAGACCAACAATCATTAACTCATTCTGTTCTGATTATCTTAAATAAATGACTGTAGTTAATTATGAGATGATGCTGATGCTTATGAAAAGACTGACCAAACCAAAACAATTAACAGGAGCTAATAAGTAACTTCTCATGACATATAGATGACCATTAAGCAGCTGACACAGCAACAATTGATTTGTACTGTATGTAGGAAATTAGATGTGCTCTGAGCATCCAGACAATGCAGAAAATACACACATAATCCTGCACCAATAACGTGACCAGGGGGACATGGCAATAAGCGTCATTCACATACCACTATTAGACAAACACAGATGAATGCTTTGTTCCTCAGGCCTGAGATAATCACAGATACAAACTCCAATCCCGCTTAACCGCCCAGCAAGGATGGGAAGAGTGTCATTTTATTTCCTGTTTGCGAGCAATTATCACAAAGAATGACTACTTTTTCCTACACAGTTTATAGATAATCTTGATTTACCAAATGATATCAGAATCTGGCAAACATTAATGAGGAAGTTTAGATGCTCAAAAGGTATCATAAATACTATACAACTGTTTGCCCTGAATCTAACTTAAAAAAGCACAAGCTAGCTGAAGTAGGCAAACCAGCAACAGGAACCTCTCTCTGCTGACAGATTGCTCTTGTTTCTTGAATTCCCCAGTCAGGAAAGAATCAGCTCCTTCAAAAGTTGTTTAGCACAAGGAAAAGTAAACCAGAAGTCAGAGCATGCTGCCTATCACAATCTGGCAAATTTACCAATAAGCTCAGCCTTCAGATTGGAGCCAGTTTTTGGTTGGTTGGTTTTGGTTTGTTGGGTATTTTTATTTGTTTTTCTTTTAAATGGTTCCCATAATAAACACTCCCTCCCTTTTTTTTTTTTTTTTAATGGCACTTTCTACCTTTTAGCTGTACAATTAATGGGCTGCATTTTGTTGCTGCAAAGTCTAAAACCCCTCTGTTGTCCCTTGTGGTTTGGATTCAGGATAATGCCAGTTTATGCATTAGACAATGAGAAGAAAAGCTATTGGTAACCCAAAGCTAACACTTGCAGTTTCCCATTTTACTCTTTAAAGCTTGTCCTAGGAACAAGCAAAAATCATGGGCTGACAAATACTGATCGAGAAAACGGTGTAGTGCA